GTCTCTGAAACTTGGCTAAAACCGTGTTTACCATCCATTTCTTATGCAATTCCAGGTTTCCATTTATTGCGAAATGACCGACCCGTCAAAACTGGTGGTGGGGTTGCCATATATCTTCGTAAAGATATTCGTTACTCTATAGCCAGCATATCGTCCACCACAATTGTTGATAGTGCAGCAGAACATCTTTTCATTGAAGTCACACTTTCTTCCTTCAAAGTGCTCTTAGGCGTCGTTTATAGTCCCTCTAGCTCTGTTAATTATTTTTCTGCCTTTGAAAAAACTTTGGAAGAATTGGTTCCGACATGTAAACATGTTATCATTATGGGTGACTTCAATACGTGTCTTATCAAAAATGATGTCCGTTCAAAAAAATTGAAGTCCGTAGTTGACTCATGTAATCTTCACATCTTGCCTTCTAATCCTACCCATTTCTTCCCTAATAGTGCCCCTTCTCTTCTAGATTTAAAAATCGTTTCCTCTCCAGAATACATATACAAACACGGGCCGTATACTGCCGATGCTTTTTCTTACCACGATTTGCTGTTTTTGTCATATAAATTACGATTACCAAAAGTCAAGTCCCGTGTTCTTCTGCTGCGTAATTTTGCTAGAATGGACGTCGACCGTCTTAAAAATGATGCTGCCAGTATAAACTGGTCGTTAATTGATGAGACAACAGATGTTGACGAACAAGTGCGTCTTTTAAATGCCTTTATAATGCAACTTTATGACAAGCATGCACCTTTACGACCAATCAAACTTAAATATCCGCCGGCTCCTTGGCTCACAAAAGAGATTAAAGATTTAATGACAAGAAGAAACCTAGCCAAAGCCAAATTTAAAAAGGACCCCTGTAATATAAATCGTGAGAAATACAGGATACTTAGGAATCGCTGCAACACGATGTGTAGAGATGCGCAACGACGTCACATTCACAAAACAATTGAGGAATCTGATCCCAATAGGGTTTGGAAATTTCTTAAAAGTTTGGGAATTGGCAAAAAGCGAAATGACTCCCTTCCTCCTGATTTAAACTTTGAAATGCTTAATCAATACTTTTCCTCAAGTTCTAGTTACGTTAACAGTTGTAAATCTAGGACACTAAATCACCTTCATTCTTTGCCAACTCCCGATTTCCCCGAATTCGTTTTATGTCAGGTTGCTGATTGTGACGTTAAAAAGAATATCACAGCTGTAACTTCTAATGCAATTGGTAATGATAATGTCAGCCGAAACATGATTCTCCCGCTCTTAGATCTATTAACTATAAATAATAAAATAAATAATAAAAATTCCTTTATTTTCAAAAGTCTTATAACAAAGATTTGTCGAGTTTTCCCTTTAAGTAGTCATAGACACTTGTGTTGGGAATAACTCGCTACTTCCCTTACGGTATCCTCAATAAGACTATTAAACTATATTATATCTAGAAGCTTAGAATTATAGAAATGTGTGTGTGTGTGTGTGTGTGTGTGTGTGTGTGTGTGTGTGTGTGTTTATGTGTGCGTGTATGTCGGTCACCTGTAAGCCCTACGAATGAGGTTCCTTGGGATCGGTATGGGTATTCCGCATACAGGTACCGACATTAAGTTTAACCGGAGATTTAATTAATTCTTATAAAAAGTTTTTCAACATCTTCATAACTAAGTGAGTCCAACCATTCTATTAAAGTTTTCTTGCAAGTGTAAGATAACATGGGGTATATTTTAAGTATTTTATTTACTTTGTTGTATATATGGGCGGATTGACCTCTATATTGTCTTCTAGCAAAAGCAGTATGTACAGCAGTGACGGGGGCAACAACATCCTTCTTTCTTTTATGACTTAGGTCGACATAAGGCAAAGATTTGTGGCACGTTAAAATGAGATTCAGAACATAGAGTTTTCGTACTGTAAGTAGACCACTCATTCTATATAGTGTATCAGTGGGAAAACGATAAGGTTTGGAGTAAATGACTTTGATAAGCGATCTCTGAGCTCTTTCAAGTGCAAGGAAGTGAGTTTTGTCAGCTCCTCCCCAAATCGAGATACAGTAGGTGAGCACCGATTGGGCCAGGGCTACATAGATTCGGTTTTTAAGTTTGTTGCACATAACCTGCCGTAATGATTTGAATACCCATATGAGTTTCCTAGTGCGGTTTGTTAAGAGTTCCAAATGTGAGTGCCAGCTAAGTCGTTGGTCCAACATTATACCTAGATATTTAGTTTGGCTGACTTTATCAATAGTAGGGCAGTCACAAATCAGGTTACCAGGATTAGAGCAAGTGTGGATTTTTATGGCAAAGTTATGGTAAGGTTGGGATTTGTTAGAAGGAGTGAAGCAGATGTAGTTGGTTTTCTGGGTGTTCAAGGTAAGAAGGTTGTCTCTGAGCCAATTAGATACATTGATTAAACCCTTTTCAGTACCTGCTTGGACAGTATTCCATGTGCTACCAGTAAAAACAAGAGCAGTGTCGTCCGCGTAGGAGTATATGCTGCCCCCGACATCCCGTAGATTACATAGATCATTTATGTATATTAAAAAGAGAGTCGGGCCCAGGACACTACCCTGCGGAACTCCAAAACTAGGCGTGGCTTTATCACTGAGTATATTATTTATTTTTACTTGCTGAGTTCGGTCTTGCAGGTAACTTTTAAAAAGCATGAGTGGAGTATCCCTAATACCTATGCATTCTAGCCTGTGTAAAAGAATAGGCACAGAGACGGTGTCGAAGGCCTTTTTTAAGTCCAAAAAGACTGTAAGACATTTGCTGCCATTGTCTACTTCACGAACTATAGTAGAAGTGAGATCAAGAATCGCATCTTGAGTTGAAAGACCCTTTCTAAAACCATATTGGGAATTTGCTAGTAATTTAAATTTATTTAGGAAATTAACTAATCTATTGTTAAGCAGCTTTTCAATTATTTTGGAGATGGAGGTAAGGACAGAGATAGGCCTGTAATTGCTTACATCCTCTCTGTCCCCACTCTTATGCACAGGGGTTACCATAGACCTCTTTAAGACGCTGGGGAAAACACCAGTACTAAAGCAAAGGTTTGCGAGGTTACATATGTACGGTACAACAAAGGCTCTAGCATGCTTTAGAAAACTAGTGCTGATACCATCCCATCCAGGTGAGCTCCCAGAGTCCAGACTCATCAAGATGCTCTCGACTTCTTTTTCGTCAGTGTTTAGGAGGACGAAGGATGAGGTCTGTATATAGTTAGAGATAGGGGCTACTAGTACACGACTTCTAGTGCCCGAATTTGTAGCAATTATTTCAGCTAAATTATTTCCTATACAAGCAAAATAATTATTGACATAGTTAACCGATTCTAGTGGTAGCGGTTTTAAGTTAATTAGCGCTACATTATTAGATTTGGGTGGTTTGTATCGAGTGATCTCATTTACTGTATTCCAAAATTTACGGGGGTTATTAGCAGATTTATTAAGAAGTTTGCCATAATGCTGTCGTTTAAGTTTTTTGATGAGGTTGGAACAGAAATTTCGAAAACGTTTATAAGTTATTGTTATAATTGTATTATGGGGGTCTTTTTCTGCCTTTTGTTGCAAATTATTTCTTAGCCTTATGCACCTCAGAGCTCCGGGGGTTATCCAGGGTTTTAATATCCTTTTATTGTTAGAAAAATAGGATAATTTAGAGTTTTGTTGGATAGCTGACTTAATGATATTAATAAAAGAGTTGGCAAATTCTTCAGGGCTATTCGGCATTTCCGAAAAGGGAATACTCGTCGATATGAGAGTATTATACGCCCCATCAAAATCTATAATTAGCTTTGACTTAGTTGGAGATTTGTGGGTAGATGTTTTAGATAACTGAAGCAACACAAGATTGTGGTCTATGATCGTCGTGTTAAGGACGGCAATAAAAGCTACAATGAGGTTGACTTCAAGTTTTATCATTACGTGGTCGAGGCAGGATCTCCTTCTCGTAGGTAGAGTGTGACCAGGCAATAAGCCATGCAGGGATAGTGCGTCTAAGTAGCTGAGTCTATTACGGCGATACTGAGGCTTCTCTGTAGCTATGGGAAGCAGGTTAATGTTTATGTCACCTATGACAGACACATTTTTATGATGACTAATAGTTTCCAGATGTAAATCTAGAGAGCTAGTAAAACTATCGGCGTTTAGAAAAGAGGGGGAGCGGTATATACCCAGAAAAACATAGTTATCAATCTCTATTTGTATCCCAGTAGCGTCTGTGAGGTGAAGGTCAATAACTTTAGCTCGGTGATTGTTTTTTATATAAGCTACTACACCATCATTCTGGTTTAAAAGTTTAGTTGATTGGTAGGAAGTGTAATTATTTAAAAATGGTATTTGTTTGTTAGGGTCTAATCTGCATTCGGTCAGTATTAGCACGTCAATTTCGAAGTCCAGTACTGATAGGGTAACCAAAAGGTCGTCGAAGTTCTTATAGATACTAGTCATGTATTGGGTTACAACAAATAGATTATTACGAGAGGAACCCAACCGATAGTAAATTATATCTTCTATATTACATTTAATTGAGTGTGTTATATGCATACAGTCTAGTTCCTGGTTAGTGAGCTGGCTATCCATTAAAAAGAGAGTAATTACAAATTAAATAATTGCAGAGGTTATTACATAGGGTGAGTGGAGATAAGTTTGTTAAAAACACTTGCAAGTATACAAGAGAATAGGTAGGATTCATCGATGAGAGTAGGTTGTTTACATTGTAGTCTGTAAGAGTGAATGTTTGTTGTCGTATGTTTTGTGCTTGTACTGTTGATGTAGTTTTATGTAAATGTGTATGTATCGAATTTGTGAGGTGTGAGCGTGTGATATTGTACATAGGTGTGTTTGGTTGTTGTAGTTTGTTTGCAGTTTTTGAGACCAGAGTTATAAGTGAGTAAATGAAAGTTGCGCTAACAGGAGATGTAAAGTTTACAGCAGTTGTCTTACCAGAAACAAGATAATAATATGTATATTGGATGAAGCACAGAGAAGTTGCCACTGAGTGTTTTGAATATAGTCACTTTTGTTGAAGAAGTTGGTGCACCTGTGCCTCGCTCTGGATGCATATAATTTTAGATGTATCGTCTTTTCTCACAAAAACTCTTCCAAACGCAGTCCAGCAGTATCTATACCCATTGGATTTTGCGAGATCCCGAGACAGGAAGAAAAGTCGGGCACCCTTAGCGGTGAGCTGCTCTGATACATAAACTGGCGTTTCCTCGCTCGTAGTAAAGCCTAGGTGTTTTGCTTGTAATTTGCATTTATTTTTGGTGTAAAATTCCTTAGACTTTTTTAGTAGTTCAGATTTCAAGATCGTGGATCCTAGTTCCAATATTATGGGGGGATTTTTCTCCCTGTCATTACGTGGCCTTATTCTGAAAATATCCTTAATATCCCGCGTGCACAAATCAAGGTTTATATTTTTCGATAGGCAAGTTATCATACTTATTAAATCATCCCTGTTCTCAGAGGGTTTACGAGGAACATTTTTTAACTCTAGACTTGCTTTGCGTGACGTCCTTTGGAGATCTTCAATTTTGTCTTCAAGAATATTTATGTACTCGCGATCCTTCTTTACTTGAGTTTCCAGTTTATCAATTTTCTTTTGGAATTCCTCATTTTGCAGAGTTAAGAGAGACACACACTGTTCAATGTTTGAAGTAGTTTGTTGGAGGGTCTTAAGTGTATTCGTGATTTCCATATGTGAGTTTTTTTGCTCAGTAATAAATGACGTTATGAGTCTAGTCATCTCCTGTTTGAAATCAAGAAACTGGGAAGGTGAAAATTCATCCTCTCTTGGTCTTCTATTATTTCGAATTAAAACATAGCTGGAGGGGGTATGTTCATACTGTGTATCCATCAAGGCTTCAGCCTGAGGCCCCATACCAGCGCCCACATCAGACTGCTGCTGCAGATTATTTTCCCTCGGGGTTGTAGTCGGAGGTGTCCTCTGAACCGACATTATGCACTATGCGCGTAGGCCTAAATGCAATATAAAAGCCGACGGGAATGCGTATTTTGTGTAGTAGGCGGAGCGGCCGGTAACAGCGCGTGATGCCACCCAGGTAGGAGGAGTTTTGCGTGTGATTAATTAGTGGACGGGGCTAGCTGGTCTAGGTTGCGCGAGAGCAGGTCTTGCTTATATCTCGTTATCTTCGTCCCACTAGTGGTCGTCCCGTTCACACAGTAGCGTCAACCGTCGCGCCGGACACTTATGTTCGCCTAGTACGCGAAGCGGAATTTTAATAGAATATTTATTCTTATTTACTGTTTAAAAATTTAAATATAGGTTTTCTAGTGAACAGGATCGCTCAGTACGACATCCGAGAGGGAAGAGCCTCCTTTTCATAACTCCTATCATAACTAAAATTTTCAACAATTCTATAAATACAGGAACTTTTCCTACTCTATGGAAAGATGCACAAATTATTCCACTACCCAAGAAATCAAATCCCAAGTCCTTCTGTGATTATCGTCCTATTTCCATATTACCTTTTCTTTCTAAAATTCTTGAGCGTCTTGTCCAACAGCAACTTAATCTATTTCTTAATGAAAATAGCCTCTTAAATACATTCCAATCAGGCTTTCGTCCTGGCCATAGCACGGTCACTGCTTTGGTTAAAATCACAGACGACATTCGGGCAGGAATGGAGAATCGGCAAGTTACTATTCTTACTCTTCTTGATTTCAGTAACGCCTTCAACACAGTCGATTTTGATATACTTCTAGCTGTGCTCCGTTCTATTAACGTATCTCCAGCGGCAACTGACTGGTTTCGTAGTTACTTGTTTGGACGCCGTCAATGCATCCGTATTGAAGACACTTATTCCTCGTGGTGTTCTCTGGATGTAGGCGTACCACAAGGTGGCGTGTTGTCTCCTCTCCTCTTTTCAATTTTCATACGCTCTATCACTTCAGGAATAACTTCTCTCTACCATCTTTATGCAGACGATCTCCAAATATATTCTCAAACAAGTATCAATAATCTTCCATCTGCCGTGCTATCCACAAATCGTGATCTCGCTATTATTTCAGAATTTTGCACATCTTATGGAATTAAGGTTAACCCTAGTAAAACGCAGGTAATAGTGATAGGTAGCAACAAACTACTACAAAAAATTACTTGGCATACGCTGCCTTTCGTTTGTTTTGAAAATTCTGCTATTCCTTACAGTAAGGTTGTAAAAAATCTAGGGGTTCTAATTGACAGTACAATGTCTTGGGCACCACAAATTGAACAAATAAGTAAGAAAATGTTTGCAGCTTGTGGAAGTCTCAAAAGACTTCGAAATTTCTTACCCATTTCTACCAAAATTGCGTTAGCACATTCCATTTTGTTGCCTATTTTAGACTATGCTGATATATGCTACACTGATATTACCATGGAGCAATTAAACAAGCTTGAGCGTCTTCAAAATCTTTCCATTCGGTTCATATTTGGCTTACGCAAATATGACCATGTATCCCAATTTCGAAATCAACTCAAGTGGCTCCCAATTCACCTTCGCCGGAATGTTCATTTACTTTCTTTACTTTTTTGTGTTCTGTTTGATCCGGAATCTCCAAGGTAAGGTAAGGAACAATTTCACTATCGATATGAATTTCATGATCGTAGTTTGCGTTCAGTGTATGGCTTGGCTTTGAACACTCCTTACAGCGTAACTTCTTTTTATAATAAGTCATTTACTTCACAAGCAACCAGACTCTGGAATTCATTACCACTTAACATCCAGCAAGCGCAATCTTTACAGATTTTTAAAAAACAACTGAAGGAGTATTATTTGAATTTCCCGTCATAATTATAAATTATATGCATTTCCTCTTTTTATAAATACTTGTTTTTTTTTCTTTTTGCTTAATTTTCTCTGCATATATATATATGTATGTATGTATGTGTGTATATATATATATATGTATATATTTCTCTATATGTATGTATATATGTATATATTTATTTATTATATAATTCATATATTTATATAAATCGTGTTTAATTATAAGTTTTTGTCCTCAGTTTCATTTTATATTGCACGTTGCACCTATCCGTCAAAATATATTACATTGTTCCCTATTACGTTCGGTTTGTCAGGTAGAAATCGCTTAAAGCGATATGACCACCGTTTGTAGTTCTTAAGTTATTCCGTAATTGTAACACTTTGTATAAATGCAATAAAGAGTTATCTATCTATCTATCTATCTATCTATGTGATAACATTGTAATGTATATCATAATGATAAGATTCTGTATGTGTTTCTTATAAATAAAATTGTGTAGATAACCATATGTTTCATAGAATTAAACATATGAGGTAAAATACAAGGGTGCAATGATGAAAATCAATGTTAAGATATGTCGAAATGGCGCGCGGTGCGCGGTTCTCTTTCGCGTATAGCTCGCGACTAGGATAGTAAACTGGTACTTTGGAAATTCGTTGTGTCAGCCCTCAAAAAAGAAGAAGCGGGTGAGGCGGGAGAAGAATAAGGAACAGCCTCCTTCTCCTCAGGCTGTGGACCTCTACACCGACACCACGAGTACAGATAGCCGCAAAAACGCAGGTTACTAGGAGCGAAACCAATGTGGGCAGAATGCCTAGGAAAGGGCTCTAACTGAAAATAGACCCCGCTTTACACATAGAGCGCGCCCTACCCACAGGAAGGAAACAAGAACCAATGTTCCGAGACCAGTACAAGCAACATAACCTCAACCACCATCAACCGACCTCGAGACAGCTCATGCCATCGAAAGATTAGTAGGCATAGCTATCGAGGTCGGTAGTTGTACGGGCTGCGGCACGTACATTTTTGTAGCGTCAGCAGTTTACGGTATTACGCTACAATAATGCATTTTGAATCAGTGCGCTAATTGAGCCCAGCAATACCGGTCACGCGTGCTCGCAGTATCATTTCTCATCTATCATTAAATTAGATTTAGTTGGTTCTATCAATAAACTATCAATTATCAACTTCCCAGTATTGACTATCATTCACTATCAACTACTGTCAAACTATCAAACGTGGGGGTTCCGTCGCGGCCCTTACATATTTCTGGTCCTTCGAGCCGGATCAAATTCAATTATCAACTTCCCAGTATTGACTATCATTTACTATCAACTACTGTCAAACTATCAAACGTGGGGGTTCCGTCACAGCCCTTACATATTTATAGTCCTTCGAGCCGGATCAACTGCTTGGAAGGCAACTATGCTGACCATTACACAATTTAGGCGTTAACGTTGATTCGTGGGATTCATTGCTTGTACATCTCCTTTCGCAATAGCTCGATGCTGACACGCATAATGAATACATGGCGTCAGTCAAGGAGCCCCGCGAGTTACTTAATATGCATAAATTTCTATCATTTTTAGAAGCCAAGTTTACAAGTTTAGAATCTTCTCGAAAGAAACCTGAGACCTCTGCAAAAAATGTACATAGCAACAACAATTATTCGCCGCAGCATTTCAATAATGGGTATCAAATAAACTTGAATAAACAAGCCTATCCGATGCACGGTAAATTCACTTTACAACAATCAAACGCGAATAACAATACTTCTTGGAAATTTTATAAGTGTGGACTTTGTAAAACCAATGAACATTGTCTTTATTATTGCCGACAGTTTTTAAACATGACACCGCACCTAAAGCTTAAGACTGTATCAAGACTGAATGTTTGCGAAAATTGCCTTTATTCACATAATGGTAAGCCGACAAGCCGATTTCCGACAAAAGATGTACAGAGTGCAATGAAGCGCGTAATTCTATTTTGTATCGATCATCTATATACTTAATATAATAAAGCGGAAGAGTTTTTTTGTTTGTTTAAACGCGCTAATCTCTGGAACTACCAGTCCGATTTGAAAAATTTTTTTTGTATATTATAGCTAGATTCATGTGGAATAGTATAGGCTATCTAGCATTAAGCTATATCACTCAGCTAGCCTTAAATATGGATATTTGTTAAACAAGTCAGAAGAAAAAGCACTCCCGAAATGATTTATCCGCGTACGCTGGTGTTATCGTTAGGGATACGTAAATACAATGTTCTAAAAAAATATAGATCTTTACTCCATCTAAAAAAAAGTCCTTGATACCATATATCTATTTCTTATACATAAGCCGTAATTAGGTATTTTGTGACAAAAAAATATTGAAAATTTAAAAGTGATTTATGAGCGTTATTATTAGGCATGGCCTATTTATCCTTACGAACGAAAGTTACTTCATCATCAAGACAATTTTATGAAGATAAACTTTGTTCTTTATACCATGTTATTTGGACGCATAGTTTAAGATATAATATAAAATTAAAATCATTCAATACTTGGCAGGGCGCGCGAACAACACATAAACCCTAGCCGCCAGGTGAGAACTGCGAGAACTGCTCAACCAGGAGGGGGAGGGAAAGTGGATAAAACTTAAGTTCGCTCTACATCATACATAATATGCCGACAGATAAAAGTACTCCATTAATTATGCAATTTTTTCCATCCATTGCTATCAAATAAAATATTTAATTGCAATTATAAAATGCTTGAACTAGGTCATGTCGCGCACCTCTGACACGTGGTGACGCGGGTGAAACCGCGGGGCACAGCTAGTTTCAACATAATTATAATAATTCGTCGAAGGTAGCAACCCGCGGAAGCAACCAGAAACCTGAAACTTCGGGTCAAGTACTAAGCAACTCACATGTGTCGATGCAATGTGATGTGCCTGAAATTCTTTTAGCTACAGCTATACTTAAGGTAAAAATATGATGGGGGTTTCGTCAACATGCGTGCTCTAATAGATCAGGGGTCCCAAGCTTCTCTCATCAGTGAACATGCGGCTCAGTTGCTCGGCCAATCTCGACTTCGATGTCGGGGAGTGATATCTGGAATAGGTACTAAGGAGAGCAATTCTAAGGGCGTCATGACTATTAAATGTAAAGCTATAAATAACGATTTTGAATTTGAACTGGAGG